ATCAACGTAGGCAGGTAAGACAATCACTGATTGGCATGTCCTTCAGCCAATCAGGAAATGTCATAGACCTACTGAAGGATGTGTAGATTGTATAGGAATTCTTTTTGGTGGCAAAGGACAGATTTATATGTTTTAATAAAGGTGGCTTCCAAAATATAGAGATGAAAGGTTGACGGACCATTTGCAATAATTTTAAACCTAACAGATGTTTCCGCACATAAAAGCTATCTTCAAGTTTTGTACACCACAAAAACTTTTCAAGTAAGTGTTTATATTTCACTTTCCATTTTCTCTACTATATCACTTACTCTCTATTATCATCAGCATACGGTGCAATGAAGTGTTTAATATTAACAAATGAAAATACGTACATACCTTTCAACACCTTCAGAGAAATCCTTAAGAATTGTCGTATTTTTTTTTAAGCCTAATTTTTTCACTTATACATTATTTTGAATTTTACATTTAAATTCTTTGTCTTTTATCATTTATGCCAATACATCAACTGATACCTGTGGGGATTTATGAAGGTATTTCAGCAGACCCCCTGCAGAGATGCGTTGCTGAAACAAGATGGCGCTTATACACGCCATCTTGTTTATACCCTTTCACAATTCAGGAAATAAGTTAAACTTGTAGAAATTATTAAACCATTCAAATCTGATGTTTAAAACACATAAAACATAATTAACTAAAATATTAAAATATGACATAAATATAATTTAACTGTCTTTCTAACTATAGCATATCTAGGTAAGAAACCACTTTAAGTGCTATAGTTGATCAAGTAGACAACAATACTAATGGCAGTTACATCTTACTGTGACATCTAGTGTCAACTGAGCTCTTTCCAATAACTATATACATTTGTGCCAAATACGCATAATAAGAAAACTGCAGCTTAAATAGTTTTTTGAAAGGTTATTTAAAATTTAAATAACATAAAAAAAGTGGAACGATATCATACATTATAAAGTTAATTTCATTGACACATATACTGATAGTAAAGTGGTTTAATTAAATTTTGAATATAACACAGTACCGTATGTCAAAAGGAATTTAAAAATTTTGCCGGGTGCCAAAGGGTTAAATAGCAAATTTTTTTATTAGAAATAGTAGAAAAAAAATCAAAATTAAATATTTTATTTATTTGAAACTACATACTTTTAGGAATGATCTTGTAAAATTTCAAACAATTTCATCCACTACTTTTATTTTTGGAACAAAATATAGCAATAGCGACATTAAGATGCATACGATTGGCAAAGTGTTAAGTGTACAGTTCTAACTTATTGTTTTATCACAAAACGTTTCTAGTTTTCAGTAGATTTATGAGTGACATCTTAACTTCTGAAACATGCTATGTATTGCACGTCTAGAAACTCGAACTATTAAAATGATTCGTTATATAAATGTTTTCTCTGTGTATTTAAGGATAAGATTAAGTTTTACTGAAACAGTAGTTTTTATCTGAAAACAAATGAAATTATTTGAGTCAATGTCAGGTATATTTTTCATTTTAACCTTCTTTTAATAGACAAAACCAAATGAATCATGGTCTTTTACGAGGTGCCGTCTTTTTTATTGGTATGTCACTGTGGGGCACTAAGAAGGTGTCATCACTGAAGCACACACCGACGGCAGTCCTTCCCAGCATTTTAAAGGTGTGTGGGTCATGTTTATATTGATCTAGTGTAAATATTATTGGAGTGGCATGTAGTACAAGAATATTTTATGTAGGCACATGTCGAGCGTAAAGAGTACTTGTTAAGATGACTCGAGTATGAATGGTTTTTGATGCTACGTATTTGTCAGAATCACCACTGTTTGTTGGAGGGTGTTAAGAAAGAAAGGGGATTTTATTTTGTATATTTAATTTTTTAGCTATGTCAGATTATGATCGGCAAACGTACACCAACGAGGTAGAGGATGCAGCCAACCAGATATCGTTCTCAACATAGTCACTGTTAAGTTCTTCTTGTTCTAAGAAGTTCAAACCAGTACAGTAAAATGAAGTTGTTGTTTTATTAGTCCAGAAGCTTTAGAAACATCAGTCTCTGGAAGTATTGTTTGCATGGACTATTTCTGAAAGTACCGTAAAAATGTTGTTAAGTAAGAACTACATTCAGAATCAGACAAGCTCTTCATTCAAACTTCAGGTGCACGGCAAGCATCACACGACCTGATATTTCAGGAAGCTCTTCATTCAAACTTCAGGTGCATGGCAAGCATCACACGACCTGATATTTCAGGAAGCTCTTCATTCAAACTTCAGGTGCACGGCAAGCATCACACGACCCGATATTTCAGGAAGCTCTTCATTCAAACTTCAGGTGCACGGCAAGCATCACATGACCCGATATTTCAGGAAGCTCTTCATTCAAACTTCAGGTGCACAGCAAGCATCACACGACCCGATATTTCAGGAAGCTCTTCATTCAAACTTCAGGTGCACAGCAAGCATCACACGACCCGATATTTCAGGAAGCTCTTCATTCAAACTTCAGGTGCACGGCAAGCATCACACGACCCGATATTTCAGGAAGCTCTTCATTCAAACTTCAGGTGCACAGCAAGCATCACACGACCCGATATTTCAGGAAGGCATGTCTTAATAGAAAATGTATATTGATTTGATCATTTATTGGCCACAATACAGCTTATAGGAAGCAAAGTCCTTTTTTTTTTAATATATAATATATAATGTTTTTGTTGTGATTATTAGTAACATCGAAATAATATTATGGTTGATATTATTGTTTTAAGTTTTTAGTAAAATTAAAGAAAAGCCATAAGAATATAGTGTGTGTATTGATGGGATTTAAATTGTTTGTTATAACTGTGAGAGAAAATCTGAGTATGATAATAGATACATATATATTGGTTTATTAAATAATTTATTTATTTATTAAATAATGCCCATAACATGGAGTTAAATAATAATTATAACAAAAAATACAGAATATTTTGTGTGAGAAATTGTCCTTTTTGGAACTTTTCACTGTATTTCAGTAAACCTTGTTAATTGTCATAGCAACATAGCCAAAAATCTCATCATTTGAAGCTAAAGAAACTGAGTGTTGTTTTTTTTCTGTCTCTGAAAAGTAATTTCTAAATTTTCCACAGGCTCTAGATTGCGAGCACAGTGTTGTTGCTTATGAGGTAGTGTTAGCCATTCATCGTTTAGTCCAGAAGTACAATAGTGATCTTCATGTGGTCTCCTGGAGTCTCATCTTAAACATAATAGAAAAACTTGCAGCTCTCCCAGAAGTAAGAGAAAGCAAATTTTATTTTCATTTTATGTGTGCAGAATTTCCATTTGTCCGTACACAAGCTTTTGTTACATCAAAGTAAGCGTGATAGTTTCTCAGTTCACGTAAAAACAAACGGCTTAATAATAACATAAGATATGGAGAAACGAGGAACTGAATTCTTAAAGCAGGATGGTGAATTAATTAGTAATGTTTGAAGCTGTTCTTTAAGGAAGATTAAAAACGAAATCAAGTTACCACTATTACATATTAACACTGTTTCATTTTGAGTGCCATTTTAATCTAAGTAACAGATGAGGATTTAAAATTTTTAATCTAACTTGTGATGATGGATGAACCATATTATTCTAAATCTTTTCTTTGCCGTTTCCATTACCTTGATCTGGGTAAATCGGGACTCTCACGGAATGTCTTACAGAAACCACTGGGAGTGGTACATACAAAGAGTTCCTACTGGTCAGTGGTACTGTAATGCTGCTAGACTGCAAGCTAGCTTACAACATGTGGTTGTGTGGTGTTCTAAACCCAGATGGCTGTGTGTTATACTTTAAATTATCAAGAACTGCTTTTCGAAAGGAAGTTATCATTTTAGATCAGAAGTGGAATAATTTCAGTAAATTATTAATTAGAACCATGTTTTAATGAGCAGCCTAAAAATACTTAGTCAAAAATCAATATATCAAAAGAGAGAGCATTATTGGGCATAATCCCAATAATACTTCACACTGATGAGCCAGTTTAGGAGATTTTAAGTATTTTTGAATCCACACATTAACAAACAATGCAAGATAATCTTGAGTGTAATATTAATCCAAAAAATATTTTAAAGATTGCCACAGTTAATATGAAATCTATACCAACTCTTTATGTAAAGTAAGTATTGTGCATTTCTATGTTGTTGTTGTTGTTTTTTATAGGTTTCAAGGCCTAGCTTCCCACCCTCCAACTTAGTCACAACTCTACACAACTTGATCAGTACAGTGGAGCAGCTTCGTGAATCTGGTAGCTTTAATGGCTCGGTTGAGAGGTTATTTGACATTGTAGAAAAATGCTCTATGTCACGGCCAGTAAGTTTTTTTGGTTCGTAGTAGTATTTAAATAAACACCATGTGCATGGGTGAGGAGGTCAAAGTGAACATGTCTTGTCCTTATACAGATGTTAAGGGTACCAGAAAATAATGTTTTTTTTTCCTTGTACAGTAAAAGATCTTTTTAAAGGTAAGTATTTATTTTTTAATCAGTTACATAATCCTTATTATTATTAAGGACAATTTGTCATCTTTCAATTCCTCATTGATAGAAGGAAACTTTTTTTGAGACAAAGAATTCTGCGAGATTAGTTTTGGTGCCATCAATATTTCTGAAGGTTTTATCGCTAAGAAAGTGCTGAATAGATCTCAATAAATAATAACACAGGCCTGTGATGCTTTTATTGTCTTGAATTTTTTACATGTTCTATGGTAATTCCTATATGCTGAATCCCAAAATGATATCCATTTTTTGTCGTCACATACATGTTTTTCGTAAAACATCATAATGCAATACATAAAAGAAAGTTTTGAGACTAAAAGACCTAGATTTAGCAAAAAAAAATCGGGATGGATGAGGATGTATATTTGTTTGACATCAATGTTCGTTGTGGTAAATGAAATAACAATTTGATCTAAGTAAGAATTTGTTTTTTTCTTCCCAATTTGTAAAACATCCTTACGTGATAGAAGAAAATTAATATTATTTTCGAAATCTGTGTAGCTGAATTATGAAAAGTCTCTTATTAAAACCAAAACAGGCCTGTTTAATTTCAAGGGGTGGAGGGTGAGGCAGGACTTTTCAATTCAAATCTCTGATCTTGTTCCGAGTCATTCTTGCAAAACGTGGTCTCGTGTTGTCGTGCTGCAGGATGAACCCTTTTCTGTTGATCAGAGCTTGGCGTTTTTCAATGAGAGTCTGGTGAAAATGGTCCGATTATTAACAATATTGGTCTGCAATTATAGTCTGATTCGATTTCAATAACTCGAAGTAAATTATGCCGACTCTGTCCCACCAAACGGACAACAAGACTTTCTGCGGGTGTAGACCTAGTTTGTCGGTCAGAATTGGGTTCAGGCCAGGGCCAAAGCCACTGTTCTTGCACTTGATTCTGACATAAAGAACCGATTTTTGTAACAATCTGACGAAGAAATTGTTCTTTCTCATGTCTATTGTCAATGAATTTGAAATTGTTCTTTGCATTGGGCTTTGTTGTCATCTGAATCCAAACTCCTTGTCTGTTGACCTTTCTTGTCTGTTTAAGATGTTCTCAAATGCTAGGTGAAGAAGAATTAAATTTTTATGACAGTTGTTGGATGGTTTGATGGGGGTCTGAACCACCGCTGGCATGTGCGGACACTCAAAGCATGTTTTTTGTTGCCTCCATTGCCTTTACGAAACTCGTAGAGCATGCAATGTTGAATGTGATTCTCGTTAGGAATGTGGGCAGTCATTTGTCCTGATTAGAGGAAAACCATTTTGGTTAACAGAGAATTGATGAACAAGAAAAGTTCCTTTGCCTTCTAAATCAAATTCATAGGAAAAGAAACGAAAACACATAATTAGAAACTTTTAAATTTAAGGTAACAAAAACGACACTACTTTACGGCACCCCTAATAACATTCTACCTGTCATGTTACCCTAAATTGCTGATATCACAACAGGTTAGGTAAAATATACAGGGGTAATGAAAAAACTTTAGATATGCACCGAGGAGATTATAAGAGCTGTGCAAATACAGTTTGTAAACTGTAAGAGGGACAGAATACCATTTTTTTTTTAGTCGGATTGGCATCAGCATTTCAGACATATCTTGAGTACAGATACTTTTATAACACCTGATGTTTTGTATACAGGAGACTCGTGCTGTCGACTACAAGCTTACGTATTTAGTCGGACTGGCATCAGCATTTCACAGACATATCTTGAGTACAAATACTTTTATAACACCTGATGTTTTGTATACAGGAAACTCGTGCTGTCGACTACAAGCTTACCGTATCTTCACAAAGATGATCTTTGTAAATTCACAATTATAGTCAGTATTACTTCTCCAATATGGGTTTGGTTCAACAGATCGACTCTGTGCACACTCACTTAAAATAATTTTGGAAACCTTTAGGTCAGTTTTTATAATGCCATCACTATGTCTTCCTGATGATGCAGTGTGAAGAACAGTGTTACATTTTCGGAGTCAGCTTTAATAATGTCACTGTCGTGTCTGGTGACAGAATGTGACCAATCTGTGTATTCCTATAACTACATATACATTACTGAATCTTATAGATCGCCTGAGATCGGAAGATATAAAACCATTCTGCATAGTGAATTTAAGCTGTTCAATCCAGTTTAATAACTGCTGTTCCTGTTTACCGAAAGTTGCTCATTCCATACAGAAGTCATTTCAATACAAGATGATAAAAACCCTATAACCCAAACGCTTTCAATAGGTGGACCATTCTTCTTCAGGGGCAAATATTCCCAGTTTACCCCTGAAGAAGAAAGGTCCACCTTTCGCTCAGTTTATAGAGTTTTTATCATCTTGTATCAAGACTTACTGAACCTACATGTTTTGCTCACATCGTGAAGTCATTTGAATAATGTTGAAAGCAAAACTAGTTAATATTTTACAAATTCTGTTTAATATTGTTCCTTACAGGTTTAACTTTGAAGTAGGAATGGATCGCTACTCTGTTAAATAATCAAAATTTCTTGCTCTTAGTTTTCTCTGATATTAAATAGTTTTAATTGTTAAAGGAGCCTTCTGTCTTGCGTCTGGTTCAGTACAGAGCTCAGCAGATCTACCCGACCAAAGAACAGTGGATTTCCTCACTTAATCTTCTGATGGAGAAGTTTTTTAAGTGAGTATGCAAATTTTAGGTTCTTTTTTGATGATAAAGACCTTTAGAATTTCAGTGCACAGCCACGTCGGTGTTACTGTTAGCCCTTTTGCTGCGGGATCGATTGAATTACAGTATTTCATTTCGTTTAAACTTTGTTTTTAATTGTTTTGTCAAAAGTTGCTGAAAAAAACTCAAACGTACTGTATAATTGGGAATTATGATTTAATACGTGATCATAGTTATGTAATTGATTGTTTTATTTGTAAAGTCTTTTTACCAGTTACTTCTCGTAATGAAACAGTTTTATAGCTGCTTTATTCATACTTTTCATGCATTTTTCTATAGGCATGAGACCAGAACAGCAATCAGAGTGAGAGTCTTGCACGTTTTATCATACCTACTTCGCACACAAAGATATATCTACGAAGTAAGCGTTCAAAAGCATTTCCTCTGAATTTCTTTTATCTCATCCTTTCAAAACGTAATGCTGGAAAAAATTTAAATCAATTTGTTTTTGTTTCTTTAATTGAAAATATTTGAATGTTGATGTAAAAACTTTGAAAACAGTGTTTATAATCAATCGCATCTTAGCTACAAATATTAACTTGAGTTTTATTTTTTATAATCCGTTTTAAACTGATGAGAATGTCGAGATTAAACGATAGATATGGAATTCAAAATTGTTTTATAGCATTCTCTCGTCTGTTTTTTTTCTCGTGTATTTATCACGGAATCATTTTATCCACGTTGTTAAAGGTATTGAACTATCATATGTAATAAATACTGAAATATAAAACTATTATTTATTCTAATTAAGGAGGAGCTAGTGGACCAAGTTATTCTTCAACATCTTGGTCATCTGGAAACTGACCAGGATGTTACAACAACGAATGTTGCTGTTCAGTTACTTGTTGACTTTGCTCAAGACAGCTGTAGTAAGAGATGTCTGGACATACTGGAAATTCTCGAAAAAGTATAGTTTTTATATTTCTATCCTCTGTATTTTGATATTAATGCTGAAATAGTACGTGTTGTATAGTTATATAAAGAAATTATCAAAAAAATTGGGCATATTTGCTTGTGTTATATATAAACAAATTCTTGTGTCGTCATACTTTTTTTTCTTCTGCAAGATTACATCACTGGTGAACGTGTAGCTTAGTTTTGTCTTGCATAGGAGATGGTCTTATAAACTTCAAGCAATTTTCACAGAAATGATATGATTTCTTAAGTTTATTTGTCAAGACTTGGGTGTTGTTGAAATCTACTGTAAATGCCATTAAAAACTGAAGACCATGTTATGCCTATTGTGCTTTACCAGTGTTTTTCTCTTGCACATTAAACTTGAATGTCAGAAGAACACGATCTTCTTCTTGTTTAGTTATAAACTAGAATGTCAGTAGAACACAATCATCATCTTGTTTAGGTATAAACTAGAATGTCAGTAGAACACGTCATCATCTTGTTTAGGTATAAACTAGAATGTCAGTAGAACACGATCATCATCTTGTTTAGGTATAAACTAGAATGTCAGTAGAACACGATCATCATCTTGTTTAGGTATAAACTAGAATGTCAGTAGAACACAGTCATCATCTTGTTTAGGTATAAACTAGAAAGTCAGTAGAACACAGTCATCATCTTGTTTAGGTATAAACTTGAATGTCAGTAGAACACGATCATCATCTTGTTTTAGGTGTAAACTTGAATGTCAGTAAAACACGATCTTCATCTTGTTTAGGTATAAACTAGAATGTCAGTAGAAGACGATCATCATTTTGTGTAGGTATAAACTTGAATGTCAGTAGAACACAGTCATCATCTTGTTTAGGTATAAACTTGAATGTCAGTAGAACACAGTCATCATCTTGTTTAGGTATAAACTAGAATGTCAGTAGAACACGATCATCATCTTGTTTAGGTATAAACTAGAATGTCAGTAGAACACGATCATCATCTTGTTTAGGTATAAACTTGAATGTCAGTAGAGCACAATCATCATATTGTTTAGGTATTATGCTGTCTAGTGCTTGAAGACTAAAACAGATAACTGTTGTTTATCCCAGGTTATAAGCAGACCTTTCGAACAGAGCCTTTCAGGGTCTGGTAAAGAATCTGCAGACACCGTTCATATCGTGAACGAGGATGAAGTCATCGATATAAAAACGGCTGTTTCTGGGCTTGTGGAAGTTTTTAAGGTAATATTCACATACAATAGCACACACTGAACCACGAATCATTGCAACTGCCAGAGTTTAACAATTTAATTGATTACCTGTGAACAATTATTACCTGGATTAGCGTCGTGTAAACTAATTGATTAATTGTAAATACTATTTTTATTCATTACCGTTTAGGATTATTATAACAATCGATTAATTAAAAGTCACAATTATATCAGTTTCACAAAAATAATCAACTAATCAAAATTAGTGTATCCAGTCTTTGATTGTTCCAGTTATCCATGTAATTGAAATATCGCCACCAAACGTGCTTAACCTGTTTTTATCTGTCACTGAATTTAAATGCTGATGAGAGGGAAGACAACTATTTTGTTTCCCCATTGTGGACAGAATCCAGATATCTGATATTTTTACAGAAAGAGTAGCAGTAGAACACTACTATTACTAATAAGAGTTTCATTAAAGATATAAGTACATGGACTGAGTTTTCTGTGGACTTTTCCTGCCATTTTTCTTGACTGGGCTCCATTCCATGTTTTGTACAAGTGATGATAAATTACGAAACAGTAGCACAGCCCTTACAGAAAACTCTTCAAACAGGACTGGTCATTTGGAAGATTGTTGAAGACTGTTTTTATTATGGTACCGACACTCAGAAAAATTTAACATAGCTACTCGCTTTGACTGGGACAACACGGGGCACTCTAAACACTACACAACACTGGTGACTTAGAAAAATCGAAGAAGCTCTCGGAATAGTTAACCGTAATCCTAGAAACTTGCAATATATGGAACCATGTTCTACAGAAACATAACAACAAAAGATTCAAGAAATTTCCCTATAAACGTACATAAATTCACAGTTTGAGAACTTTCTCTGAGGTCCATCTCCGGTCATTTCATAAATACAGACTTGGTGAAAGACTTGACATGGAATCCAAGAGTCTTCTCAAAAAACAGCTAGAGAAGTCTGTTGAAAAATCAGTCCATTTATTAAGCACAAGTACATTTTAAATTAAAAAGGTACCTATTGCTTAACTTTGGAACAAAATTACTATTGGTTTTGGTGTTAGTATTGTATAACTCTATAATAAAGTCAAAATTACTATTGGTTGTTGGTGTTAGTATTGTATAACTCTATAATAAAGTCAAAATTACTGTTGGTTGTTGGTGTAAGTATTGTATAACTCTATAATAAAGTCAAAATTACTATTGGCTGTTGGTGTAAGTATTGTATAACTTTATAATAAAGTCAAAATTACTGTTGGTTGTTGGTGTAAGTATTGTATAATTCTAATAAAGTCAAAATTAGTTTTGGTTAAAGATGAAATTTTGGAATAGTTGTGCATTATTACATACACTGGACAAACAGCTTTTAACTGCAGTAGTTAAGTGGTTAGGATGTCAAGCCGTATATTACATACACTGGACAAACAGCTTTTAACTGCAGTAGTAAACTGGTTAGGATGTCAAGCCGTATATTACATACACTGGACAAACAGCTTTTAACTGCAGTAGTTAAGTGGTTAGGATGTCAAGCCGTATATTACATACACTGGACAAACAACTTTTAACTGCAGTAGTAAACTGGTTAGGATGTGAAACCGTATATTACATACACTGGACAAACAGCTTTTAACTGCAGTAGTAAACTGGTTAGGATGTCAAGCCGTATATTACATACACTGGACTAATAGCTCGACTAATATTTCTGGGAGGGACATCCAACTCACCACTTTCCGGATTCTACTGGTTTGTTCAACTGCTACAGGACCACTATAATGAGCTTTCAGGTGGTTGGTTAACAACTGGTAGGCGTAAACGGCGTGTGACGATGGAAGACAGTGAAGTTTTTTCTAACATACAAGTAAAAATATTTATATTAATATTGTTTCATCTGCAGCAACAATTATTTTCCAAGTTTTCCTTTACTCGTATATACAGTTTACAAATTATACATCTGTTTTAATCTAAAAACACACACAGACAGTTAGGATGTCAAGCCGTATATTACATACACTGGACAAACAGTTTCTAACTGCTATTGTAAGCTGGTTAGAATGTGAAACCGTGTATCAACGCATACATGACAAACAGTTTCTAACTGCTATAGTAAACTGGTTAGGATGTGAAACCGTATATCAACGCATACATGACAAACAGTTTCTAACTGCTATAGTAAACTGGTTAGGATGTGAAACCGTATATCAATAGTTTACTATAGCAGTTAGAAACTGTTTGTCATGTATACGTTGATATACGGTTTCACATCCTAACCAGTTTACTATAGCAGTTAAAAACTGTTTGTCATGTATGCGTTGATATACGGTTTCACATCCTAACCAGTTTACTATAGCAGTTAAAAACTGTTTGTCATGTATACGTTGATATACGGTTTCACATTCTAACCTGTTGACAACATTACCTGTTCCTACATTCCACTACTCCCATACACACTTCACTCACTGGGTGGATATGTACATTAGGTGGTGGAATGTAGGAATGAGTAATGTAGATTTTCTTCCAATCCCAAATGTTCTCTGGTTTCTGATCTTTTTCTATCCCAAAAATTTTAGAATAACATTTTTTTGTTACTACTTTCTGCACTTTTTTACGAGTTGAAATATTGGCTTTCAGTGGGGCTGTAACTTCTAGATGGAAGGCATCGTTTCACCAACTTATTCAGTTTATAGGGAGCCATAATATAATTTATAGATGTTACTTCTTGAAGCGAGGTAAATCATGACCAGGATACTGCAAGGTGTGGTAAGGGGTATACGGTAGCTTATTTACTTCCATATAACACACATAATGGCTTACTGATCGGAGATTGTGATTAGTACTTTTTACTGTAACTAACCTATCGTGAATCACTTGCTGCTCTAGGTTTGAAAGGAACATCCTAGTGAGTAGTAAAGTGTTTTTGTGTGCAGGCTGGTCGTAGGAACACTGTGGTTTACTAGTTACAGCTGAAGAAAATCATATTTTTGTGGTCCATGCTCCAGATGTCAAGGAAGGTTGGCTGAACTTCAGAGACAATCTTTAACTTGATTAGCGAAGGGCTTTTCATCCCTTTGGTGGGGTTTTGCCAATGTCCTAGCATATGTGCAACCATACACAATGTACAGCTGCCATTTTAACAGGACCCATCCCTAGATAGGGATCACTACCATGCTCCCTGCTAGCAGACTCGTCCCCATATAGGGATC